GGAGCTGCCCTTCCCCACTCTGTTCCTGCCAGTACTCCCCGCACTCCTTCCTGCGAAAGAGCCTGTACCCACAGGGAGAATGAGGTCTTGCTCAGCCTACTGTGCAACATCCAGTGCGTGTCCTTTCTATAAGATCCCTCCATGAGTCTGCAGTGCTTTCTTTCCTTTGAGCAGCAAGGTGTTCAAGGGGAGGAGCCATGTATAGACCAGACCGCATCACATAAAAAGCTGTGTGTGCTCCACTGAGAAGGCCTTCACCTGAGGAGCTGGAAGGTGAGAACCAAAGATGTGGGGGAAAACGGGGCAGGAGAGATTTTAAGAATAGCAAATATCGGGGCTGGGGATTTAGCTCAGCGGCACAGCGCCTGCCTGGCAAGCGCAAGGTCGTGAGTTCAATTCCTGGTACTGGAAAAAAAAAAAAATAGCAAACATCAAGGATCCTGACCAGATCATCTTGGAAGGAAAATTAATATAAAAGCTGAGAAGAAAAAAGCAGAGAAGTGTGGATATGGGAGGCAGGACAATGGAATGGTTATAATCTCTCCAGATAGTTGGTAGCAAGAATCAGGGTCCAATGCGTAAAAGCGAGGATGCAAAGTTAGTGTGATGGTAAGAAAAGATGCCAAACTGGCTGGGGAGGCAGGGGAAGAACATTCACAGGTAAGAGGTTTGGTAGGGTTCAACTTGAGAATACAGGTGTTTGTTACAGAGAGAAAGCAGGCAAGTGAGACTTTTCTGATGGCAGCAGTGAGAATTGAGAGGAAAGAGTAGGATGAGGAGGTAGAGATGACTGCAAATAAGAACCCCCAACAGGAGAGGGCCACGTCCAAAAGTCATGTCACTCAGATCACAGAATGCTGTAAGTAAAAAATATATAACTGAATATGACCCTATCCATCCATCCATCCACCCACCACCCACCCATCTATCCATTGATCCATCCTCCTATCCATCTGAAGGCTGAGGTTCATGTTCATTTAATAGTCATTTTCAAGTATCACATTGAGTCACTCTATAGATTAAAGACAGAGAGTACGTTCCTTGCCCTTACTGAGCTCACAGTGCACAATAAGAGGGACACATCCATGAAACTGGCAGGAAGTGTTCTGCTGTAGGAACTAGGTGGGTTGGTTTTTCTTCGTACGTTTTCTGCTATTGCTCCCTTGTTCACAGTAAAACATCAACAACCAGGGAATAATACAGCAAAGAAGGAAAAGCCAACCTTTGTGAGCTCCAAAACAGATTATTAAATATTTGCACAGTCAACAATTTACAGGAGCCTTGACTTCTGGGTACCCAAAACCAAATTTTACACCAAAAATAATGCATAACAACGTAAGGGGCAGCTCCAGTTTCTCAAAGGAAGCAGTGATCTGCGGACTCGGGTGGAGCAGGAGGCAACGGGCTGCGGGAGGAAAGCTGAGGAGGGCACCTTGCTGGTGCCCTGCAGGGCGAGTCCTCCAATGGGGACAGGACAGAGACAGACTGAAGATGGGTCTGAAGCTTGGAGACCAATGGAGTCCCACTCCAAGACACCTTTGAGACGTAGCAATGCCCACTTTCTTCAACTTCCCTCACGCCCATTATGTGCTCTTAGGCATGGTGAGCAAGCGGTAAAGCCCAGTGGTTAGGCAGTCTGAACTTCTCCAAGTACCGGGATCAGAGCAAGAACTAAAACCCAGAGGCGAAAGGGATGTAGAGTCTCAGAGCTGCTGGCAGCAAATGCGGGCACTAGAAGGCTGGTGGGGACGATGGCACTTCAGCCGACACCAGCGTGAACAGAGGTCAACAGGAGCTGGACGTCACCTTCTCCTTGATACTGGGGCCCATGAAGACCACTCCTACAACCCTCCAATTTCTAGGCAACACAGCTGAGAAGGGGGGCCCTGAACCAATCAAGAAAAGTCTGATTGATCTGAGTTTACCATGAGCTAAGATGAAATTCATGCCACCAGGTAGGATCTGGACTGAAGACTTTTTCTTTGCAGACCTGAGTTTGTGGACAAACATGATACTTGCTCTACACCCTGATGTATAGGTTGAGGCAGGTGGGTCCCTAGGATGCATGAGGATAAGTGAGAGACTCCTCGCCAGTCTCCAGCGGCCAGGGCGAAGGAGGGGACCTACTAGCAGGGCACTGAAGGACAGCTGGCAGCAGGAGAGCCAAGCACAAACGAAGTCACCATGGCCTCAGCTCAGAGTGACAAACACGAGGCCATGAAGTTAAATGCAACAGGTTGCAGAGATCAAGCCCAAGGCCATGAGCCCTCCCACTCACAGGGTGGGGGACTCGAGGCGCTGGACAGGGGGACAGTGTGACTGGGATTTCACTTCAGAGCATGGCAAGAGCCTGGGTAACGGCCACCTCAGGGAGATCCACTCCTGCAGGCCAAGATTTCCTCATTGTGTCTCCGGTCTCACGTTTCCTTTTAGTATCACACTGATCCTAATCGCCCTCAAACCTGCACTGCATTAGAAAGGAGAAAGGCACATTAGTCCAGATTTTATAAATTGACATTTAGCTAAGAGTCCAGAATAGGAAGTGGAAGTTACAGCTTGGTAAGAAAATTAGTGCTAAAATGCATCTTGATCTGAGAGAGAACAAACTGATTTAATATTTTGCAACTAGATATATCTCCTATGCACCTAGCTCTATATATGATACATGCTATTTTAATGTTACTGGAAGCTTTAGAAGAAACAGGAAAATGGGTTTATCTCTTTAAAATACAGGACTTGCAGGGCAGGCATAGTGGCCTTTGGTGCAGGAGAGGCTGATGGTTCTTGAGCTTCCCAGGTCTTGGGGGAAGGGGGGGGTGTCTTGGTGAGTGATTCCTCGAACCTTCCCTATTGTTTCTGCAGCCCCATCAACGATTCTGTGAGCCATCTGATGCTCTAGCACCAATCCCTTTCTGTTCCCAAAGTGGATTTGCTTCCTATATACTGACCAAAACAGATCAAAGTACTTATGTTTAAAACAAAAACAATCAAATATGCAGTCATTAAGATCAGGCACCCTGAAGGCAAAATGCCTGGGTTAGAATCCCACCACTTATCAGCTACTTGATTTGAGGCAAGATGTTGTCATGGTTTAGATCTAGAATCCCCTCCCCACTAGCCTCACATGTGTGGAGGTGACTGGATGACCAGGTGCTGTACTCATCAACAGATTCAACCACTGATGGGTTCATAGCTGAATGTGTTATGAGGAGTTGGGGTCTGGTTGGAAGAGGTAGGGCACAGGGGATGTGTTTTTAGGGGGCTTTTCTCTCTCCTTGGGTGCCATGGGATGAGCAGCTTTTCTCCAACATACCCTTCTGCCATGCCCTTTCTGCCTTGGTGTCTGCAAACTATGAACTCAACCCTCTGAAACTGGGATCCAAATAAACTTCTGTAGGTTGTGGGTGTTGGATTACTTTGTCCCAGTGATGGGAAAGCTAATACACTGTTTAACCTTTATGTGGCTCAGTTTCCTCACTAGTCATAGGGTGATTAAATAATATATTCCGAGTGTTTAGGACAGTGACTGACATACAATATTTGCTCAATAAATACTTGACCTTTTAATATTATAGTTGGTTAGTACCAAAAGAGCAATTAAATTAACTGAAAATTTACTGACTTCTTAAAAGAAATACCCATTCTGCTGTTGCTTTTCCCCTCTCCAGGTTGGCTTTTGAACTATTTTTTATTTATTATTTTCTTTTGAGACAGGGTCTCCCTATGTAGTGCAGACTGCCCTTGAATTCACTTATGTGGCCCAGGCTGGCCTCAAACTCACAGTGATCCTCCTGTCTCAGCCTTTTGAGTGCTGGGATTACAGGTGTGAGCCACTAATTGACCTAACTTTAAATTGTGCTAGCCACACATGAAAAAGAACTGACTACATTTTGATTATTTTGCCATATTTGAACTCTTACAGGTTAAGTAAAATGACTGAATGTTCTTTTAGTATAACCATCTGATATGGTTTACTCAAAAGAAAACTGAATCAAGGGAGGAGAATTGGTGTTTTTAAAAATTAAATCTGTCTTGTTCAGAAATTTTCTAACATGTTACTTCTGAAATGGGGAATAAACATGTCAATATTTTCTTCATAAATCAGTTACTTAAAAATGAGAAAAATGTTTAATTACTACGTTTTCTACACCTACAATATTCTTTATATCCAAGTGGGACTTAGCATACTTTACCCTGAAACAAAATGACTTACTGAAATCAGTAAACCCTGTTGATGGTTTTATAACTGGAGTTTTCTGGAAATGAACCTGCTTCAATAAGAAGGGACTGGTACAAATTTAATAAGCTAGATCTTTATGTTAAGCTGTTATTGTTGAGAATAATAAAAAATTGAGGTTTTGGTTTTGCTCTGGAGAAGGAAGAGTTTAAGAACCAGTGGTAAAGTACTAAGAGCCCCATCCTGGTAACAGGCAGTACCCAGAAGGTGAGGGGTCCCCACTCCACAACAGTAGGGACCTTGCAGTTCTAACTACGTATTTATGACAAACCAATCTGTGTGCCCGAGACAGCTTTAACTCCATGAAGGGTACATGCTGTTTCCTCTGGACCCAGCCCTGGTGTCTCTCAAAAGGGGAGGAGTGACAACAGCACTGCGGAAGTTGGCAGACACCTCTATGACCCCAACATCTCTGCATTTGCTTTCTTCCCCTCTTCCGCAGGGACACTGCAGCTCCTCCCCGCAGTTCCGGGAGAATGAAGGCACCCAACTAGTGAGAAGACACAGTGGCCAGCTCAGTTTGAATTCTCTCCCTGTGCTGTGCGCTATTCGGTGGGCGGCTCCACAGAAGGCAAAAGGGACATCAGATTCCACCCCATTTCCCCTGAGAAGCCCTCGCCACTTTGGCAGGGTTGTGCCTTCCCTACCAGCAAACCCTCACCATAATCCCTAGGTAGTGAGATGCTAAATCTCTCTTCTGTTCCTTAAAGGGGCATGAAACTTTCTTGATTACAGTTGTTTAACCCAGTGAAAACGAGTCTTCTGCAATGAAAAGAGCTAACATTTATTCAGTCAACAAATGCTGAGCACCTGATAGGCCCAGACACCGGCTGGTTATCAGCATGCACAGAACACAAGAATGAGTAAGCACAAAGCTGCCACCAGCCACATCCAGTGCAGTTCCCAGATGTCTCGGAATGAATGAGAAGGTGCACAGTGTTTCCTTAAAGGCCCATTAGGATGGTCACCGAGTGATGACGTCAAAAAAGCTGAGACGGGGAAGCAAGCACAGTGCAGGGCGTGTGGTGGCAGCAGTGAGCACGGGGGCCACTGCAGCTGGCCCTGTCCCGAAACAGCGAGACATTCTCAGTAGCTCCCAGTTGGAAAAGAATGCGCCCAGTAAGCAGATGACAAGACAGTGATTGCAGCCAGGAATCTCTAGGCACGGGACAGCCCGACTGCTCTGTCCACAGCAAAGGGACACCAGTGCACACGCGCAGGGTGCAGGAACCGTTTGCACGCACACAGGCGTGAGCGAGTTTCTGAACAGCTCTGGCAGGCGCAGCCTCACAGAGTGGTGGGGAGCAGACCTGAGAAGCGGGCTACTTCTTCATCTCCAGAATCGCGCTTCCGGGCCCGCGGTTCTTAGCGCTGCAGATGTTGCAGTACTGTGCAGAATTCTGAAAAGGTAATTTAAAAACACAGGTGAACAGAAGCATTTATCTCTTCTCCCTCTGCTATAATACCGTGAGCCGGGCAGGGTGGAGAGGAAGGACCCAACGTCGACTTTTCCTGGAGGTTGTGTTTGGTTCACAGAGAATTCAGGACAGGATTACTCTGCAGGACTGGGGGTGCTGCACGGCCAGAGGCCAAGTTGTCCCTGGGACGGGGCAGGGATGGGGCAGGGACGTGACGCTGACAGAGCCATGTCACAATGCACAAGTCAGGGTGAGAAAATCCCACAGGATCTAAAATGGTTCTGTGCTGTGCAACTTTACAGCTCACCCGCCAGGGATTCCACTGAATGAATTCACCTCACTGAGGGCCCAACTGTCCTCCACATTTCAGCATTTGAAGAGCAGACAACTTACCTTACATGATATAAAGGTCTAGTCATCCTTTGGCATGGGGCGTCTATTCCAGGACCCCCTCTGATACCAAAACCCCCTGGTAGTCAAATCCCTTATATCGCTGGAAAGCAACCTATGCTCATGCTCCGTAGGCTTTAAATCCTCTCCTTTACTTATGGTACATAGCACAACGTAAATGCTAGGTAAATGTCTGCTTTACTCCATTGTTTAGGAAATGGTAAGAAAAAGAATAAGCAAATGTGCAGTACTGAGGCAACCCCCCTCCAATATTTTTGATCTGAGGTTGGTTGAGCCCATGAACATTGCACTCCTGGGTAAGGAAAGCGGGGTGCACAGAACAGTTTAAACCCCACAGAGCCACAAGAGGACAGTTTAGGGTGAGAGCGCATCCCTGGCATCGCCTCGGTTTCTCTTTCGCTCCAGCCCCAACTCACCACGCTGGGCACAGGCAGGCACTCCTTGTGGAACATGTGGCGGCAGTGGAAGACCACCACGCTGAAGGGCTTGGCTGCATCTGTGGGGGAAGGGAGAGCTCACTGCGGTGGGCAGACCAGGCAGGCGCAGCCTGGTTCCCCTGCACCGGCTGCCTCTGGGGATGGCTCTCTCCTGAACGCATTCACTGCTGCGGGGTGGGCGGTCAAGTGCGAAGCAGGCGCTGGACTCCTGCTGTCTCCAGTCACAGCTTACTTACCTGGCCTCTGTGTCAGCTACCAAGACCATAAATGGGGGCCAATCTTATAGCAAATGCAGCCACATGTATTTAATCACTGTGTGTATGACGGGCCTCCCCAACTAATATCCGCATCATCTTTAAAATCCGCCTGCCTTGTGGGTCCTCATCTCTGGCGCAGGGTGGCCAGCTCGTTTCTGTGTCAGTACCGAGAGGCAATCTCACTGTACGTGTGGCCTGTGTGGGGTCCCTTCCTGCTGACACCCTGCCTGCACCCCCGGGAAAGCTGCTGCTTTGCTTAGTCCACTGCAGGTTTTAACTGAAGCATTTAAAAATCCAAACCTGCTTCTTCTAGAAAATGACTTCTCATCCTACTGCCTATGAAATAATCCCTTCCTGCTAAGGAAATGTGAAGCCAGTCAGGTGTTTAGTGCTGAATTTGTACTCAAAGAACAAAACAAAACAAACCGCCCCCCCCAATACCATTTTTTAGTAACCTGACAACTATACTTGATTATCTGCTTTCAAGTTGTGATTTCCTCTTCTTATGTCACAATGAACCTTAAGTAAGAGACTCTTCATTAAATATGAAAATAAATATATTTACTAAGAAAGAGATATAAACCAAAGCTTGTAACTCTCTTTGAAAGGGCCAGGGTTCCAATTAGATGTGAGTATTAACTTTCCATGGAGAAGGGAGATGAGCGATCCAGGTGCCTAGAAGGCCACATCAAAGAAAAAGAGTATGGGAAAGGCACCTAAAAAATGTTTTCCTAGATACACACAGTTCTGCCACCCTGAGTTAAACACGTGGGTGCTAAGTTCCACCTGGCTTTGTTTTACTCTGGAATGGTGTTCTGAAAAGGGGGCCTTCCGCCAGGAGCTCAGTGGAAATGCTTGTTCCTGATCCCCAGGCTTACAGCCCCTGGGGCGGGTGGCACCAGGTCCTCAGGCTGTGCCCGTGGGGGCCATGAATCTCAGTGCTGGATACCTCTATTCTACACACAGTGGTACCAGCACCAAAAGAGTAGAGACAGAGGGGGAAATGATCCTTAGCCTGGATTCTCTAAAGACAGAGGCAGAAATAATCCCTCACCTGGATTATTTTGAAAGTTTCTAAGTAGCAATTAACCAATTTCAGAATTTTAATCCGCCCATCACTGGTACATATTTTGGGCAGCTTCTCACCTGTAGGGAGGATGGGGGACAGGCAGGACTCGCAGATGTTCTCCTCTGTAAGAGAACACACTGGGGTTAGGTGCAGCTCCATCCCAGCAGCACGACGCGAGGCTTGGAGGGGGCCTGTTTCAGTTCTACCCACCATCAACCAGAACGCCTTTCATTTGAGTTCGGTGCATCTTCTTCAGTAAGGACAGGGAGTCCGCGACGAGGATCTTCTTGCAGCCTTCCCGCAGCAGAATCTAATGCACATAAGTGAAAAGCCATCTTGAGCAGACTAGATCCTGGGGAGCAGGGGCTTCTCACCGGTGCCCCACAAAGTTCTTGTGTTCAGAATCCTCCTGCTCTCCCATCCTCCTTACCTCCTCTGCCTCCCTCCAAACCTCGCAGGACAGAGCTGGGCAGCCACAAGCCACTTCTTACCCTGTGCACCTTTTGTATGTTTTAGATGACGACACAGTGGCTCTGTAGCTCTTGTAAGATCAAGGATAGATTCCAAGGTCTGGTGACCCAGGCCTCGGAGTAGGGGGTGACTTGCTCACTCTGATCTGCCCATCTCTGCCTGGGATGGACAGTCTGTTAGTCCAAAATCATCCCTTTACTTCACAAAGCTATCTGTCCCCTGCACAGACAGGTACCGGGTCCCCTCACGCCAAGGCACTTCGTGGAAACAATGGGCTCAGCAGAGAAGCAAATGACCTTCAGTGGCTGTGAGTCGCAGCAAGTGCCCCTGTCGAGGGCTTTGGCTTTCTTCAAGTGACATCAAGTCTCTGATGCCAAATCTACAGTTTTGCTTGTAGAGGTTTATATTTATGCTACTGGGGAAAGGGAGTTAAGGGAGTAGCCAGATGTGGTCCTCTATGCCTGTCACCTCCAATGGCTTGTGTTCTCCTAAAAGTCCCCAAGAGCCTCTATGTATAGGAAAATATATGTACATACTCCATGTACATGAAGGCCACAATCAGGAAAGCAGAATTGATGTTCAGATTACAGCTCGGTGCCCGCCGTTTCTAGTACTGATGAGCAAGACATGACTACATGTTCGTATTCCCACATTAACTGAAGCACTGCATGGGAAGTTTTCTTCACAATTTTACTAGATTTCTTTTTCTTTTTAGTGGTACTGATAATGGAACCCAGTACCTTCACACGGAGCTACATCCCAGCCTTTTGTTAATTTTTTTAGAGACAGGGTCTTGCTAAATTGCCCAGTGCCGGAGTCAAACTTGTGAGTGTCCTGCTCCAACCTCCCAGGGTGCTGGGATTATAGGCATGCACCACCATACCCAGCTGAAACAGGAATTTTTAAAATTCATTTTAAAGACATTAAAAATTTAACAGACATCATTAAAGTATGAGTTTTAGGGAAATTTATAAGCAAGCATATACATCTGTTCAGCCGCCAACACCCACACAACAAACTTGAAAATAGTGTCGGCCATCACATCTCTGGTGAGTATTTCATAAAGAACCAACTCTGACTCTGGAGGTGCTCTGCATGAATAATACAGGATGAAGGCATGGCCAGCCGTCTAGACAGAAGCTACTGGGCCTGCAAACTAAAAAGAAAGGTGTAAAAAATGCAAAGTAAGAAGGCACCGCCTCCCAGCAGGATGACACTTTCTGAATAGGCACAGTCGGCTGCCTGCAGAAGGTGGAAGGAAAAGTTCACAAATACAGCTGACTTTGTCACTTCCTACTTCATTTGATCCCATTCCAAAGCTCCCAATGAGAAATATATAAAAACATTTTGTTTCACTGACATGATGACAGGCGGGATTATCAAAAAATAAGACATCTGTAGAGAAGCCTTCTGTCCCATAACATCTGCAATGACTGAGAGACTCCCGACGGCGGCAGGGGAGGGATAGCGGTACAAGATCCCATGCAGCCTCACACAGGATCCCACATGTGACAAGGGGCGATACTGATGACCACGTCCTTGTATCCCTGTAGCAACCCTATTAGGTGACACAACTTCACCCTAAATGCTCATATTTCCTGTGGAAGTCTTTCCTACAAAGGCTGCAAGTCAGATGGTGCAGTAGTTGGATTTACTCCTTTCTAACCTTCACACTCCTGAGTTTCTGTCTCTCAAGGTCACCTTACTCCTGCTTCCCAGCTGTGGACTGTCACCTTCCACCTTCCAGAAGGTTGGCATTCTTTAGGCATCTAGGGTACATGCACTCTCTCCTATGACCAAGTTTTCAGGGACCATTGCTGCTTGTACTCTGAGTACCACCTCCATTATGGTTTAAATCTGGATGCCCTGCTCCCTAAGCCCCATCCACTCAAAGATGGGGCTTTTGAAAGGTGACTGGACTGGGTGCTGATAGCTGACTTGCTGTTAGGAGGTTGAGTCTGGTCATAAGAGGTGGGTCACTGGGGGTGTGGCCTGGAAGGATGCGTCTCCCTCCAGGGGTCCTCCTTTCACCTTCTACTTCCTGTCCACTATGCCTGTCTGCCATGCTACCCTGCCTGGGAGCCAGCAGAACATGGACTGAAACTTCTACAAACTGAGCCACAGTAAACCTGTCCTCTTTTAAGTTGTGTGTATCAAGTACTGTGTCCCAGTGGCGAGGAAAGGAACTAGGATAACCTTCCATTACTTTGTGCTACATTTCTTTTCAATATATGCAGTATTATAAAGGGTAACACCCAAGTTCCCACCACCTAGATTTAATCAATCTGTTACTCTTTTTCCTATGTGCGTCAGGGATGCTTATTTCAGAGAACAAAGCACTGCTGACACTTTCCTGCACTCTAGTTCCTTCTCCTTCAACTCCCACGATGTTTAGTGTGTATCCAGTTAAAATGTGTAAGTTGCAGCGGCTCATCATGTTACTTCCGGACAGTGGAACCAACATTTGGCCTGGGAAGTTGTCCCTTTCAAACAAAGAAAGCAAAGCTTCATTAGGAAGAAGCTTTTTGCTCCCATATCTTGCTGTGTGCAATGTGGCTGGGATGTGTGGAGATACAGCACTGATCCTGTGGCCAAGAGGTTTCCTCTCAGGCAGTCTCCTACTGATGGGTATTTAGGCTGTTTCCTGTGTAAGGCTGCTGGGAGAGAGGTGTTCAGAATGTTCTGCACACATTTCTGTGGACTTGCTTTCCATGTCTTCTATAAGTGCTGTGCCTCCTGGATTATGCAGTAGGTACATGTTTAATTTTTTAAGAAACTGTCAGTTTTCCAAAGTAGTTATACTATTTTACATTCTCATATACCAAGTTTTGATCTCTGACAACCTGCCATCCTTATTCTTCTTAGATAATCTTAGTCTTTTACATTTATTTAAATTCTAGGACTAGATGATGGCTTTAGAAGAATAATACTTGTGATATGAATGACTGTTAGCAATTAAATGGTGACACTCAATTTGCTAATAACTTGTGTAGTTTTATGGCTGTGTTAAAGAAAGGGCCATAATTGTATCATATTGCCCTCATGTAATGCTGGTGTTAAGTTTACAAAAGTGCCCTGGGAAGAATGGAGTTTTTCATCCTAATAGTGGAAAAGTTCATGTAAATAGGGGTTGCTTGTTTTTTGAAGGTCTTATAAAATTTGTCTCTAAAATTATCTATGCTTTGCTGTCCCTGTACATTTTGACCATTCATTCTGCTTCTTTAATGATTACAGGTCTGTTCTTTTGTTCTTGGTAATTTATATTTTCCTAGAAAATTGTGAATCTCTTATGGGTTTTCAAAGAAATCACTATGAGCTTGTATTGTTTGTCTACTTCAGGTGTTGAAAATTTAGTCTGGAAAGGCTTTTTTCTTTAAGGGTGCGCTGCTTTATTTCCTGTATCTTTTGTTCAGACTTCATAGAATCTGCAAATACATTTTGTGCTGTTTTGAGGGTATCTGTAATCTGCAGAAGCTTCTGAAGATGTGGTTTTAGGATTGTACCTTCTCCTTCACTCCCTACCAAGTCCTTTTTGTACTCCAAAGTACAATTACTGGTCTTTCAAAGATAAAAGTGATTTTTACCCAGCAAAATTCCTTCCTGATTTAGGATGGTCTCCTATTACCTGTGTTGGGTAGCCTCTGATACTGCTTTCAGAGATTAAAATCAGCTCGGAACATTTTGTAATCTAGATATGAGTCTACTTTGTAAATAAGATAGCATCATTCCTAACTTTTGCTTAGTAAGCTTTATTTTCTACAAGAATTTCACCAAAGATAAACCGCTGTCTTTTCTTTCCTAATGTCATAATGACAGTAGTTTTCATCTTGAAAGTACCTATGGGCATTTCTTAGAAAGTGCAATGTTATCTTTCATTTTCCTTATGGGTCTTCCTCTTTTCCCAAGATTATCTATATTTTTTTTTTATTTAAAAAATTTAAAAAACTAACACAACAACAATGAAGACAAAATCAAAACAACACAAAAACAACAAAAGCAATACATGACCTCAAAACTAAATGATAGGAATTAACAATGGTTGCTACATTACGTACTGTTATCTTCAGTGAAGTTGCTGAATCCACCAGACATAAGAATGTAAGACTGATCAATCAAAGACAGTAACAATAAAAAAAAAAATTGGAAATGATGCAGAGTTTCACCATACAAGATGGTAGGAGTTCCACAATGGTTCTTATACTGTTAAATCTTGGAAACAACCCAAATGTCCATCAACTGAGGAATGGATAAAAAAGATGTGGTATTTTTATACACCCATAAGGAAACACCCAAGAATTTGTCCTAATCAGCAGATCTCTTTGAAAGGATCGCTGTGGCTGTGAGGGGTACAGTGCTAGATGAGAAAGCCATGAGACTCGGACAAAGGATTGGGCTCAAACCTAGATCATCATCCTCCCAGGTTGCAGGTCATTTCACCTTTCCAAGCATCAGCCTGGAGCTCTGGGAAAGGGCGGTGACAGCTCCTTCAGGACTGTTTGTCAGGTAAGACAGTCAAAGGAGAGTGTTTAAAAAGAGTGCTGAGGGAGAACTTCTCTAACAAACAGAAAAGGGTACAAATGCTCCATAAGATAAATGCTTACTTTACAGAAATATCTAAAATAGAAAAATTTACATACACTAATAATAGAAAAAAGTAATGACACAAATAACTTCAGTGTATCGGAAAAACTAAAATATCCTTTCTATGCATACTGCTGGAATAATTTCTCTCAAAGCAGTTATTTGTCTTGAACTCAAACCTATGAACATCTTGGGTTTAGAAAGTATCACACAAATTATTTTCTTCTTACTGATTTCATGAGCTTTTGAAAATCTGTTCATTAATTGCATTAATAATGTAACACAGCTTAATAATGTGAACACTGATAATGTGGCTGAATATTCATTTCCTTTGACTCTGTCAGAGGCTTTTCACATGTGTAATGAGGCTGTGCTTTAACCAAAGAGAGCTGCTGTGGTACTGAAACTAGTTTTTGTTTTTTTTTTCCAAAACCTTTCTCTGTTCCCTATCTTTCTAATTAACAAGTGGGTAATGAACTGATCTCCCAGAGCAGTGCTCAGATACATTTAAAATGCTATGGACTCAACTGTGTATCTCCCCAGATTGAGTCCCAATGCACACTAGCCAAAAACTGGCGCCACGAAGCTCTGTGGTAGCATTTCTCTAACATCTGACCTGGATCTCTGTTTACTGATGGTGGGGGGTTGCTGCCCACCGCTCCACACCAGGTTCTGGAAACCACAAAATTCCTGCCAAACTGAGGATGAGCTGAGGGTGCCAACTTTTTTGTGCTGGTTGAGAACATGAAAGAATCAACCATAGCTTTATGAAATGAAGACTAAACAGAATCAAAGAGAAACACTGCAATCCTTTGGAAGCTGCAAAGGCTCCACGGAGAGATGTGGGCTACTTTTATAGTGATGCCTAAATGGCTGACTAGTGGCCAGTAATGAAAAAGGGCTGCCTTTCCTAGGGGAAAAAAAATTCTAACCCCTTTCTTCATTCATGAGAAGGAAGCACCCTGGAATTTCTGAAACAATCAGCCCAGCACACCCTTTTCTCTCGGCAGCCTTCACCAAGGCCGCTGAGCCCCAACGGGGACGACAGGTGTGGCCACTGTTTTCGAGGCTCTGCTACCTCCCCTCTGGCTCCTTTCTTTCCCTGAGAAGCCACTCCCTGGCTGGAGGATTTACAGGCACCAAGGGCTCTTTGGAATCCATGGCTACGTAATTTTCAGCCTCTTTAACACATTATCCAGCTGCATGCTTACACAGCACAGGGCAACTGTAAACCATAATTAAGAGGAGAAAATATTGATTCCACAGCTGTTTGAATGGATGATTTTTGTTACATTCACTTTGCATCTAATAATAATTCTGTTTTTATTCCCAGCCAACTCAGAACTGTGCCCATTTGTTCAGAAACAATGAAGGAGCAGTAAGCCTGTGGTGGGCGGTAGTTCCATGAGCGTGCTCCTCAGGAATGAGGGCCCAGGAAGGGGACTCATGCATGCTTCCCCAGGCAACAGGAAGACACCTTTCATGGCAGGGCCCAAACTCCGTGCCCAGCAGATTTGGATCTGAACATTTCCGCATACCCGGGCGTGCCACGGAGCTCAGGGCCAGCGAAGCAGAGATCACACCCAGCTCATTCTTGTCCAGAGGTTTATTAGGCCAGGACACTCAAACCACTTTGACCAAACCCAATTCCAAGCCTTGGCACCAGTGGCTTCCCAGGCTGGATCCCCACCCGGCATTCCTAAGGCACTGCCCCAAAAGCAGATGCCTCCGCCACCTCTTTTTGCCCATCAGCCTGTTCTTCCCTTCTCATTGTCCCTTCCACACTCTGTCCTGGGCCATCTTCGAACCTCCAGACGCCCTGGAAATGGCGCCTGCCCCTCACTGAGCTTTCTGCCCAGCACTGCCTTGGCTTGCTGGAAAGCCAGTTACTGCCCCTCTGACCCATTCCCCAATAAGCACTCCTGAGCGAGGCCCCTGGCTGCTCACATCCGTACCTGCAGGAAAATCCTCTCCTAGAAAGCTGTGTTGCTCGGTGGCAGCACAGCCCTGTGGGCCGCAGGGGCAACATCGCAGGTCACCAAGGCCCTAGTCCTCGAGGAGGACTCCGTAAAGGCTGTGGCCTCAGTGTCCTGACTAATCTACTCCGACGACGGTTCCCTTCACCCCACTTTTCAGAAAGAGTGATATATTTTGTTAGCGCATGTTAATGCTACATGGTCATGGCATTTCTTTTGGGAAGCTGGCACATGCCATCAACATATCTTAGTCACTTTCAATCCCCTAATCCCTCTCTCCACAAGTTGTATCTTCTGTTCTCCTGTCTTCTCTCCTTCATTTTAATTATTCATTTTTATGTTTCTCATACAAGAGAAAACGCTTGATAGTATTTAACTTTGAGTTTGGTATTTAACTTTCCGGCTAATTGCACGCAACACGCTTGTCTCTAGTTCCACACATTTTCCTGCAAACGACAGGATTTCATTCTTCTTTATGCTTGAGCGACCTTCCACTGTGAATACACTGGAACATACCCACCCCAGCTCTGGGAATTTTCATGTTAATGGTACTACACTTCCTGGTCACAACCTCTTGTCCCTCTGGCTCTGCCATTCCTTTACACCTCCGTTCTCCATGCCGCTGCCCTTCCTTCGGTCTCTTCTTTTCCCCTGGTCTGACCCTAGGTGTTACCCTTGTTCAGCAGGTGGCCCTCCGCTCTGCACACTTCACAGTGACTACTGGCCCAAGAAATTCTCACACAATGGTCCTCAGTTCTCTCAACCTCACCTTTTGGCTGCAAGATCATATTGTTTCCAGGAAAGCAATTTCAACCACTGTGACAAAAACTAATTTTCAAGTCAATCAGTCTGAATTTTTAAAGCAGTACGTTCTGAACAGTTTCAAGCTCTATGGAAACTACCGGCACCCTTAACAGTAGGAACTGCTCCAATCCTTTTAGGGGAAATAGTAGAATGCTCTGTAATTAGCTCTATGAAAGTAATGAGCTGCATTTTTCTTATCACAAATTCTGAACTAAGAGAATACTAAGGTTGTACTATCCTAGCAAAACAGAGGTGAAGCAGAATCCTTTATCATGTTTCACACAATGGATTATTGATAGCATAAACAGAAACTACTAAATTATCCGAAAAATTATTTATTCCCCTTGAAGACATTTGGGAGGTCTGATGTAGCAATCCCCATAAGTCTTGATGTCATGCTGCATGTCCGACACTAAAGTAAGAATGACGCTTTTGCCATAAACCAACAGTGTGGGGACAGCTTAGTAATCAGATGGCTTCCTACAGGGGGATGTTTCCAGTTTTGTTTTCTTTTGTGTGGTAGTGAGGACTGAATCCAGGGCCTTCACACTGCGCTACATCCCCAGCCCTTTTTTTTTCTTTTAGGTGCAGTCTCACTAAACTGTCCACGCTGGGCTTGAACCTGGGATCCTTCTACCTTCACCTCCTAGAGGGTTAGTATTACAGATGTGTACCACCATGCCCGGTTCTAGTTTCTTGAATGGTTTTCCAAATATGTGTGCCTAAGTACAATGTATCAAATTGAAAGGGTCTAATAACATAAATCATAGATTTATCCAGAAGTGAGTCATTTACATCAGGCATGCTTCTTTGTCCAAGATAAGATACTTACCTGCAAATTGTAGTCTTGCAGAATTTTTACCAATGAGTCTCTCAGATTGGGAATCTCCATTCCCTCCTTAATTCGGTGAATCAGTAGAATTGGGTCAACATGTGTGCCGATGTTGTTTAACAAGCCAGTAATAAATGCTACAAAATAGAGACAACTGACATATAAGCACTGTTACAGTATACTTTATTTGTAAGTAATCTGCACATAATACGCTTTACCAAAAATAATTTTAAAAAATGTTAAAACCTTTACGCTCAGTTTTCTAAACTCTCAAGAATCAAGTTCCCTCAAGACATAAAGGAAAAACTAAATGAGAACAGTTTAAAAACAGGCAAACAGTTGGGCATGGCGGCGCATACCAATAATCCTAGCACTTGGGAGGCTGAGGCAGGAGAATTGCTGCGAGTTCTAGGCCAGCCTGAACTCCATAGTGAAACCCTGTCTCAGAAAGACAAAAATGAAACAAAAATGACAAACAAATGACCACTTTCCTTCAAAATATAGTTTGTACTGTCAAAAGAAAACAACTGATACTTATTGGGAACTTCCTGTGGCTCATCTATTATACTCTGCTCTCTGACATTTTGCAAGGTAGGACTGTTATATCTCCCCATTTTATAGATAAGAGAGATGAAGTGTTTGATTTACCAGGGTCACAAAGCCAGCAAGCAATGAGCCCACATCAAAACCAGGCCATACTATAAGTCCATATGGGTTCTAACTGTCCCCACTTGGTCTATTAAGTCTTAAACCATTACTGTATCATGTCAAATTACATCCCTTGTATTTCAAATCATTAAGTCACGAGAGCCAATTTCAGATGAAGGTATCTGAAAATGAAGCCTTTCTACCAAAGGGAAAGAAGACTGTACACCACTATTGCTAGCCTGGCAATCATTTCTGCTCTTCAAAAGAGGCCCTGGGTTACTGTTGTGTAATTGCTTATTTCTAAAACTATAGCTCAGTGCACATGGTAATCCAGAGAGCCAACAAATACAAAGTATTGGGGCTGCACTGATAAAATGGGGCAGGAAAGAGAGACTCAAGGCTGTACGGCAACCACTCAAATATGTTTCCATAAAAAGAGACTGATAAAGGCTACAGAATTTCAAAATAAATGTGCAGTATACACATGAAACACAAACCCAAACCAACCCAACACAGGTGACATTCAGTGTGGCTGTCATAGGAGACAACATGCCTGTGGGGCACAGTTAAGCTGTGCACTCACTTTCTGTGTCACACTCACTAGTGCACAGTGAGGAGACGCCAGCCCTTTCTGCCCCGGAGGGGGTCTGGAATCCTTACAGCACACCTCCCACCCCGGAAAGGATGGCCATCATCAAGAAGTCAACCAATAACAATGCTGGCAGGGTGACAGGGGGAAAGGAAGCCCTTTCCACTGCTGGTGGGAGTGTAGACTGGTGCAACCACTGTGGAGAACAGTATGGAGAATCCAAAAAACTAGGATCCAGCTATCAGCCTTCTGGGTATTTTTCTAGAAAAACTGAAAACATCGTACCACAGCGATACAGGTGCACTCATGTTTGCCGCAGTGCGATTTGTCATCGCTAAATCTTGGAAACAACCCAAATGGACATCAAGTGAGAAACAGATAACAGATGTGGTATTTTTATACAATGGAGTATTATTCAGCTATTAAAAAAAGATAAACCCACGGCTTTTATAGGTAAATAGATGCAACTAGAGACCACACACCTGGCCTATTTTTACTGTAGATACTTCACTATTTTTAACTCAGTATCTCCTGAGATAAATCTTACTCTGCATGTAACTGGCTATATTGGAGAGAAAACGTTAATTACAGATGGCTTCTCTACTTACGTGGTTTGTCAATGGAATATAAAATGAGATCTTCCCAGAGTTCTCCATCATCTTGCTCCTTGGCGAATTCAATTGCTTTATCCACATCATGCAGTTCCTCCATGATCATCTTTAGGGCGCTTCGACTGTTGCCCATCCGGCCTAGGTCGGGGAGGAAGTGAGAGAGGCACCGTTTATTTTAAAAACAAACAGCCTCTCCTGTATCCCACTTACAGTTTAGAAGCTAAATCAGAAGCACATTTTCTTACATGTCACGATTACTTGCCATAGCACAGTAAGATAAGCATTTCTCACTTAGTGGATGTTCAGTTTGTGCAGAGCACTTCTGTAAGTAACTTACACCAATTACAATGTTCAGGAATCCCTGTAATCCTATGAGGGATGTTCTACTAATGCTACTGCTTTATACAAGAGTTAACAGAAATGTTAGTTACCCACCAGGACCTTACAGCTACTAACAGGTAGAGCTGGTCTTTGAGCCCAGGCGTGCTGGACTTGGCCTCTCCCTCACACCTGTGTTTCCTTTGGATATTAGCATCTTCAAATTGGTACAGTTAACACTTTCAGAGGCCTAGGAAATCATTCTGCCTCTCTAAGGTGGCTTTGCGTGTCATTCTTCCGATACAACTACAGACTCAACTATCAGTGGGCTTCCCCATCTCTTTTTCCAAACTCATGGGAAAGCCTTGCAACACCCTTCATAATGGGAATTATTTACCAACTATGCTTCTATTAGCTAGTTATCTTTACACACTTTGCGCACTGATTTACTGGCATTTCAATACGTTTAAATAATTTCCACAAGCTGTTGTCATGATCCATGCTTCAGAAAGCTTGCTGTGGGCTGCTACCTTATCGTTGTCTCCCGCCCGCACAGGGCCTGGGGAAGGATCCTGAATCCACCTCACCATGGGCCACCACTGTCGAGTCTAATAGTGGGCTTGTGCAAAAAAGATGACATCCCACTTCATAGCCCTTTGGTAGCATTGTGTTTTTGTTATTCTCAAGATGCTTTGTCTTTTAAAAATAGTTATTTATGTGTACAGGATTTTTAAGTGTTTATAAAACCAGACACAGCTATCTTTACAAGTCTTTTGCTTCTAAGTATGACATGATAAAAATCTATCCTAACAGATTATTTCTTGGGGGAACACTGTTTGCAAGAAAGAAGTAAACAGATGAGCTATTCGAGGTTGTAAATTAGAACCCCCCAAATATGCTCAAGTAACCAAATGCAGCCCCAAAAGCATTTCTCCTACAGTAAACAGGTCCCATAACTGGGAAGTCCCAGGTCTGTTGTGAAGTACCGGTACCTGCATATGCGTAAGTGGGAAAAGATTTGGAAATTCTTCCAGAGGCCAAAGGCGCCAGTGACAGTGTTGTATATGAGAAGGTTATGACACAGAACAACCCTAGTGGGGAAGTGACACTGGAGAAACAGCTCACGGGAACTTTCTGCTGTGTGTCACTAATATCTGGCTTCCTTACAACACCTTCAGGAAACCATGCACCGCTCTGATGCACTGGGGGGGAAAGTGTAAGAGTGTTCCGTGTCCTGCAGTGCCTGGTCCAGAAACGATGACATGTGTCAGGGCAGGAACCAGAAGACCAGAGACAACTCATGAGCACACTGTGTTAAAAGTTGTCTCACTTAAGCTGTGCAAGGTGGCACACACCTGTAATCCCAGCACTTGGGAGGCTGAGGCAGGAGGATCACCATGAGTTCAAGGCCAACCTGAACTGGATAGCAAGGCCCTATCTCAAAACAGCAAAAAATTAAAAGTTATCACTCTTCAAACTCCATATTTAACTGCCTTTCCTCCAGTTATATATAGTGTGAGTTTTGAAAATGAAGATTATTTTCTACCAATATGATGGTACTATAAGCTGATTGTAATTTTTAAAAAACTAGTTTTAATCTGTTGTGAAGTGTGAAACTTTTGTTTCTTCTGTTTATGAAAATTACCAATATATTCTTTCAACAGTATTTACTCAATAACCCTTCTCCCTTGTGTTGTGAATTTTTCTATATATTAATCCTTTTCACGTATTAAATTCTTTTCACATGCGAAAGTTTTGTACAAAATAGGCATCAAATTATGTCACTTTATTCTGAAACGCGTTCTTACACAATCCACATCAGGTTACGGGGACTAAAATTAACAATAAAGCTACTTACTTAGAAGGTAAACTGTCTCTTCTACAAAGTTTCTCTGCTGACAGATTTCCAGAGCCTTCAAAGGAAGCAAGGTAGAGATGTTACTGTGAGCTACCAGATGAGAACAAATATTAATAGAGTCACTTACAAGTCTGAAAATGTTTCCATTCCTTTCCTTTAGCAACAAAAAAAAGCTAAAAAGATGCATCTCCTTGGCTCTTGCTGGTCGCCATACTCACCTCACAGAGAGCTACTGAACCCCGCACACTTCAACTGACAATGTACTCACAGCAATGTAAAGCACACTGTATGATCAAAGGCAGAAAATAAGATGCAGAAAGAAAGTGCTTTTCTTGCCTTGCTTTCTCTTCATGTTACTTTTGGTTTCCTTAGTGACCTACTTCCCATCAAATGCAGCCATTTGTTTGTTTATTTATTTATTAATTATTATTATCATTTTTTTTGTACCAGAAATCGAACTCATGACCTCAGGCTTGCCAGGCAAGCACTTATGCCGCTGAGCTACAGCCCTGGCATGTAGTCATTTGTTTAAAAGATTTCCTTCCCTTACAACAGAAACTCCCTGAAAGGAATGCTGTCCAAGGTAACACTTTCCAGTGCTGTGCAGGAGTATCTGCTCTGTAACTTAGGTTCCTTGCATGCATGAGCAAATGAATGAATAAGTCAGTCAATCAGTCAATCAATCAATCAATCAATCTCCTGGGAATATTTCTGTTGTCAGCTCACAGGGTTTGAGAACTCTGTTCAAGGATCTTTGCAAAGCAAGAGGGAAAGTGTACCTGCTCATCATGAAGGATCAAAAGAGAAGATCAAGTAAAGACATGAGGACCAGGCCGATGACAGTCTTCTCGTCCGTGTAAAAGAGGACACTGTGTGTGCTGATAACTCAGTACCTCTAAACAACCTGATGCCAATTTACTATGTGCTCTGTGCTACAGGGTCAGGGTACATAGTGATACACAGGTGACAGCAATAATAAAAATGGTGAGGATGACAGGTGAGTGGAAGATGACAGGAGGTGCTTAGGGGGAGCAGAAGCAGCCTGAGTCCACCCAGGAGTGCACGGGTGACAGAGATGTGGTAACACATTACTCCATGATCACTAGAACCTGAGGGATGGCACAGGGAAGGGAACTGAACTCATGTCCTCTTGCAGGAAGCTCCAGAGGAGAGACGGCATCTGAACTGGATGCAGTCCCACAGCGACAGAGGACCTCAGAAAGCCCCTCTACATGACTTCTCAGGGCCAAGCATCTTTACAGTGAGCCAGGCTCCACGCTGCATTCCCAGAAAACACCTCCTCCCTGCTCCTCTCTCCGGGCTGTCTCCTGGCCAGAGGTGTTTCCTTGCCCTCCACCCTGTCAAGGACTTCAGACAGAAACAACAGGGGACCCGACACAGCCTTGATCCTAGGCCTCCTGCACATAGGGCTGCAACACCAGCCTCCATCACCCAGCAACTCTTGTAACATCCCTCTGCTGGGAGCACGTGCACGCTAAGCCCTATGCTTTGCATCATGCCTGGCCCGCAGTGGGTGTGCAATTAAAAAAAAGAAAAA